TAAAAAGACACAAAGTCTGACCTCTCTCTCGCACCACCTCTCCAAAGGTAGTCAAACTGCTTAACTACAATTTTATTTTCATGTGATAATTTATAGAATTAGTACTTATTACATGACATATGTATACTTTATCGAATTTAAATTATTTTGGAGTAATTACTACACTTCCTCCATTACATGGTCAAAATTAATTCCATACTAGCCAGGTAAAGTTAGTCAACTCCTCAGATGTGTCATGTATATATAAGTATAATCGATACACGCAGTTTACCTAAAGAGCCTTATAAACCTTCTTTTCTTGTTCTTCTGCTTTTCTTTATCTTCTGAATTTTTTTTTTCTTGATAAACTGTTCCAACATCTTGTAATAAGTACTAGTTTCATAAACTGCCGCATGAAACTAAAATTGTAGTTAATTAAAATATAATCGTTCCTATATAGGATCCAATGCTTTTATGCTGGAAAATTTAGTACTATACATTTTCCATAAAACCTCACACAAATAATCAAATTATAAAAAAAAATGAAAAAAATGTAAAACAGCTTCAAAAATTTCTGAAAAAATAAAAATGTCGTATAATCGATTATTTATTTATTCTTTTCAAGATTAACTAATTAGCGGAAATTAAATAAATATGTATCAATGCATAAATACACCGACACGATGGCTCAGTGGTAGAGTTGCAGCCCTGTTGATCACCAAGGTTAAGCAGCATTTGACGTAGTTAGTACTTGGATAGGTCACCGTTCAAGTCTTTCCGTTTTGCCTCTGCTGTTTGCTTCGTGGATTGATTAACTGTTTCTGTGTCCCTTTGACATCGTGAGCGGGAGGTGTGCCAAATTTCTGCCTTGTTGTCTAAGTCTGCAGCTTAAACACCATGTCAGAAATGACGCAGATACACCGGGCAGTTCTGGATCAAGTTTTTCCTACGGGAGACACGGGAGACTTCCCGGGATTTTTTTGGTCCACGTAAAAGTTGTCGTGGGCGAATGTGGAGCAGTTTGTTAGGGATCTCCCCCTTCTAATCCCATCCCGATTCCTTCTCAATCCCAAGTACTAAGTGCCCTAAGTAGTGCCTTTATAAGACAGCTGGACGTAAAGCACTATAATATTAAAAAAATTAATAAATAAAAAAATTAATGATGTACAGATAAGCTGCCGCTCAAAAATGTTTTTTTTTTAGTTTAAAAATAAATTTTCTTTCCTACCTTGAGCGTTTTTGAGAGGCTGGTGTGATCTCGGTAAGAAAAATGGTATTCGCCACATAAGCTCCATCCCTCCGAGGCAACCTTACGGACCCTCAGGTCTGCTTCGCAGGAGCCTCGGGCCTTAAAATAGCCCCAGAGGCAATGGCGCTTATCTGACGAAAACTACCATAGTACGTGCATATAGAAGTATAACTTTAAAAACGTAATTTAGTACTGCTTTATCGTGGATGGGGTAGTATTATTACATGCAAATAAAAGTAGCTTTACTCAAAAAATCACCTTACTTATAATTGAAAAATTTTGTAAGAATAAGACGCAATAAAAATGTAACAATTTATCCATAAGATCTCGTATTTATCTTGTAATATAAAAAGATTAAAACTTTAAAAAAATCTTTGAACAAATTCAACAATCAATTATTTATTCAAAAATAAAAATTGAAAATAAAAATTAAATAAACATTTAGTAATACGTAGAATAGATGCTACTAAAAAAGAAGTTTCTCGGGTTGAAAAAAATGTTTTATTAAATAAATAACTTATTCATCAATACAATGTATCATTAAGCCGAATTAATCAATAAACAGTGAATAAATATTTTAACGAAAAATAGGTTTGCGACGCCACAGTCGACGCCCCTGCTCTGAAGCTAAATAATCATACTGGTGTATATATGAAACTATCTGTGTGCTCTGTTGTAGCGACCATTCCCCAAGAAGAAGAAAGGATGATGTATGAATTGCCAATGGGTCGAAGTGCGCCAAAGTGCAAGAAAAATAAGACTAATCCAAGTCTACCCGGCCCTGAGCATCAATTGCCCCGTTGACGAGACGTCCTCTTCGACGACCCTAGCTGAGCTCGAAAAGGAAGGTGCATTGCGCAGCACACGAGAGCCGTCAAGAGACTATGAAGCGTTGACTTCCCGGACTACAATCCTTGACGTTCACGGTAGGCTTACGTACCAGTGAGGAAAGCACGGCCTACACCAAGGTAAAGTGCGTAGGCTGAGAGGGGATGCGGGGAAATCATTGATTGTAACTACCGGCACGAGAGCAGGAGCTGAGAGGTCGAGATAGAGAATAGTGCTCGAGTGTGCTCTCGTCGGGCCTCCGTCGAGACGTGTGGGGACTGGCGCGTCGGGAAAACGTGTGAGGGAGGGACGGGGATAAGTGAAAGAGAGAGAGAGAGAGAGAGAGAGAGAGAGAGAGGGCGCGTTTAATTTTAAAAGTGAGGTGGATAGGTACATAGCACAGTTGCATGCGTGGGACAGATCGAGGGCCGGCGCGGGACGTGTATTGGGAAAAGTGTTTGCGATCTTTACTGGCCGTGACAGCGATCCAACGTCGTGGTCCTAGAGGTTGAACCGAGCGTGTGTGTGTGCGTGTGCTCTGACGGTCAGTTGCGTTGAGGAGGCCTGGGCCCGACATTTTTCTAATGGGGTAAATTTTTTCAATACACTATTAAGAATCAACCAGAGTTTCAGTTACTTCTCTTATGTGAAAGTTGTGAAACAATCATTTTTACTAACGGTATATTGTACTTGATTGTGTCACGTCTTGTTCCCACATCTTATATTTATAGGACGGTAACGAATCATTTTTTTAATGGATTCATTTTTTTTAAAAAGAAGTTAACAATTTAGTCCGACGAATTAATCTGTTTTTGACATTCTTACCAATTTTTTTTTCTACCATTGCCCGCAAGCAAAAAGCATTGTGTATGAGTTTTTTCTTCCATTTATCATCATGATTATCTACGTAAGGCAATCTTACAGTATTCTGCCTGTTGAATTTTTGCATTCCGAATTTTTAGCCATCCTATCTTTCATCTTTCCGATTTCACAACGCTCCTAATGTTTACTATTCCGAATTTACATCTTTCCGAAATCCTATCCTTCCGATTTTCGTTCACCCAAATTATTGTCAATCCGAAATCTAAGTATTCCGATTTTTAAAACATCCGATTGTATGTTTTCCGAATTCTTAGCCTTCCTCAATTACATCTTTCCGAATTTTTTATTTCCGAATTTTAGACTATCCAAATTTTTAACTAGACTCGCGCACCATCACTGGCGTCCTGGTTGACGTAAGATCGAGGGATTACGTAAGTGTAATTGTTTTCCCCTTTTCAGATAGATCCAGTGAAGGGAGAGTCGAGAGCGTAAATCATCGAGTAGAGACGTACGAGACTGAATTATCACGGTATTTCCTCTCCAACGTGAAGTCACTTTGGGGAAGTATAGATAATCGTTATAGGTTACGAACCACACTACAACAAAAATTAAGAGGTTACCGTATAAAATACAGGAGGTCGCAGGTTCAACTCAAGTGGAACATTTTTTTTTTTTTTTTTTTTTTTAACGAGAAGCAGTAATAGAATAAGAATTATATTCAAAAGAATTTACTAGCTGATAGAATTAAGAATTTTTAGCAGGTAAAATTGATGAAAGAAATTTTAGGTTTTCTCATTTAATGATTTTTAATTTAGCTGAAAATTTATTGCACGGTAAAAATAACGATAGAAATAGTATTTTTGAAGCTGATAAAAATACTATCAAGTCTTTATCATCTAAACTCTTTGATTCGTTAAAAATTAAGAGTATAGAGAGATTAGGTCAGTTTAAGCTTAATAAATCTGGACCAATTTGTGTTCAACTTAGATAAGTATTGCTGGTTTTGAGAAACAGTAAAAAAGTTACTGATGTAAAGATGTCAAATGACAAAATTGATTTGTAATGTGAACGTTTCGCCGCTTAGAATAGTGATTGTTTTAAGTTAAAAGTAAAAAATTAAGAGGAGACAATGAAAAAATGATGTACATAAATTCTATACCAAAATTAGTTAATAGTAAGGAAAATTCAACAAATTCAAAAAACCAAATAGTTATATAAAAATCTCTGGTATTGAAAATGATTTCATGTTTTATTATCGAAATGTCAGAAGTTTTAATAATAAGCTTGATAAATTAAGATTAAATATTTCTCTTTATCACCCATGACCGGATATTATTGTTTTAACGAAGACTAGACTTTAGTCAAAAGTCCTCAATAAATAATAAGGCTCATACAATACAATATTTACAGTGGATGGACCTGACATAAGTACTTAGGTTCTGTGCCACAGGTGGTGGTGTACTAAAATCTGGAGAATCGCTCAGCTGCGAGAAAAATAACATCCTTTTAGGCGTCCAGCTTAAGTCCCAGACATTCATGGTATATCAACTTCTAAGCCCCTCTTAATAATAATCTCAAATACAACACGGTAATTGTGTAAGTAGTTTGATCCAATATTACATTCAGTCTTGATAAAGCCTAATATTTAATTATTATAACTTGAGCTATTCCACTGTACCACAGTAAAAAATTATATTCCATAGGTTGCACAGCAGAAATAATGGATAGATTTTTTGTGGTAAGTGATAGGATGTAATTTAAAAACAAATGTAAATTAAAATAAATTCTTTATTTCATTGACAGTAAGAACTTTTTTTCATTTATGCGCAAAAAAAATGTGTAATAGTTTTATGAACGAAATGTAGCACGATATGAATAAGTTATAATAAAATCATTTTTCATATATGATACATATTTACAACTGGAATGATCCAAAATGATTTCAAGTAGGTAAGTTGAATCATACATTTTCTAAAAGTGCAAAAAATAAGTGTATCACCCTCAGAATAAACAGGAAATACATTTATATTTTAAGTATTTTACGGAGTTATACTCGTAACTATTAAATTATTTTGCTATAATTCTTTACAAAATGTTTACTTGATTTATTAATGACGCTATTTTCAACCTTTCCTACGTATCCAAGTTTGAAAAAACTTGTAATTCGTACTGTACTAAATGTCACTATCTGTCATGATTTTACAGATTATCTAAAATTAATAATGTTATTACGAATTATTTTTCATAAAACAAAAATACTTGCTACTTGAAGGTAAAAACAAATAATGTTACCATATAAAACAATATAAAACATCCAACCGTGTAAACTTTAAACTTATATACACACGTCTTCTGAGAGTTATTAAAAACAAAAAAATAAAACAAATAAACAAAAATCACGTTTTTACAGTTTTTCACCACTAAGATTGAGAACATTGTAGTAGGAATGATCAGGAAATCGATCAAGTTCAATGTAATCCGTTTCGTCGAGAAGCAGTCCTTCAGCTAGGCTAACAAGCTCCGTAAAGGAGGGTCTACACGCAGGATCTTTGTCCCAACAATAATACATTATGTTGTACAGTTCTCGTTTACAGTGCTCTGGCCTGTCTAATCTGTAACCGTCCTTTATTCGTCGCATAACCTACAAAATAAAAAAAAATTTCGTTTTACTTTTTGTTCTTAATACTAATGGAGATAGAAAGAGAAGAAAAATTTATTTCCGTACTTTGGGCGTTTTTTTAACATTTGGAAGTTTAGTGCACCCTAATTTTAGTATGTAAAATAGTATATAAATATACGTAAGTTCCAAAAAAAAAAAAAAAAAATATTGGTACTTTTGACCATATAAATAGCATATTTGTATGTATATGTTTCCAGCTACTGTGTACAAAATTAAAATGGTCACAATTTGTAAATTATTGTAATTGTTCTCCAATTTACTAATGTAGACGGTTTTCACTTAGATAAAACTCCGAAACAAAAGTTTTTCCGTTATAATCACTATTAATTGTGTCATTCAAATGGTTTTAAAACATTATTTTTACATGTTTGGTATCGTTACGTTTTATTATCTCCACATACTTAGCAATTGACATCTTAATTTTTTTATAACGTTGATACATTGGCTTGACTTTTTTCAGAGTTTCAACGTATGATCGATGGTTGTTAACACGAATTTAAATATTTTAATTTTGTGCTATTCAAGTCGGACGAAAATTGTTATTTCTCACCTTTACCTCAGGTATATGGGGAAATCCAAAAAAAATTCTGTTTTTGTACCCCATTTTAATAGAAAAAATTTTTTTTGAGGTACACCCTTGAAACTGGGCTCATTTTACTCGTCGTGTGATGTACTATGAGGAAAAAAATTTGAACACGAGGCTCAGTGAGGGTGACACTTTTTTCCGCTATCTACACGTTAAAATAATATGTATACGTAATAGCATGTAAATCGTGGAAAAAAGTGTCACCCTCACTCAGCCTCGTGCTCAAATTTTTTTCCTCATAGTACATTACATTACGAGTATAATGATCCTTATCTCGAAGGTGTGCCTCGAAAAAAATTTTTTTATGAAAATGGGGGACAAAAACAGGATATTTTTAGTGGATTTCCTCAAATATCTAGTTTTATAAATTTTTCTGTTCAAGATATTAAAGTTTTATTCTGTAGTTTTAAAAAAAAGTATTACTTTCTAATGTTAAAGAATTTATAACCATTGATTTTTTCTGATACGTTTTTTTATCAATTACTGTGGATATGAGACAATTGCCATTAAAAACGACTTCAATAGTAAATTTATGCTATTCCCCAAAAAATAGTTTTATTTTAGTTGACTCAGTTAATCTTTTGTCATACATAACACGTCATGAATACCAATTTGCTGCTAAGACTACGTTCAAAATAATGAAGTTGTGTTAGAAAGTACTGGTTTAATTCACTCTAACAAACAATTTCTTTTAATATATTTTTATAATACTGTTATTTAAAAATCAAAATACATAAAGGTAGTACTGTTATAAGAAAAACATTTTATATTATATTGAAAAATGATAACCAAATATTGAGTTTTATTGTGTAAGGTAGTCCTCCAATGATGAAAAACGACAAATTATTTAAAACAATACTTATAACTCACTTCTGCAGCTGCAAGTCCTGGATAGGGTGTTGATCCAAGAGTCACAATTTCCCAGATTAGAACACCAAAACTCCATATGTCTGATTTAACGGAAAAAATGTTGTCGTACAAGCTCTCAGGTGCCATCCATCTAATTGGCAGCCGACCTTCAGATTTTCTTTCATATATTTGGTTAGCTGCCACATCTCGAGCGAAACCAAAATCCGCTACTTTACAGACTCTAGTCTCCTCTATTAATACGTTTCTTGCAGCGAGATCTCGATGAATTATGCCCTTTGAAGCAAGATATTCCATCCCTTTTGCAACCTGCAAATAAACACCAAAAGTTATTATATTTAAATTAAGCAACTGCTTCCATTGAGACGCACATAAAAGGTAAAAACGAAAATTTTCAAAGTGTATGTAACGAGCTCTTAGCATATTTTTCAGTATTTGTTAGGAAAAATTTAAAAATACAAATTCAAGTTTGTGTGTACCTCTCTATACATAAATTAAAACTTTCAAGCAATAAATGGTTCTGAAATTTGTTCGGTGTAGTAAAATTATTTTGTTTACTCTGAAAAATTCTAAACTCATAACTACTACACTCTTGCATACATTTTTTATAAATATTGAAAAAAATATCTTTCCAGAAATACCTTTAATTCATTATTTTTAAGTGCTAATCAAGTAATTGAAGCAGCTTTAAATGCATCATTTTTTATTTGCTCTTCAAATCCAACGAATTGTTCGGTAAATTAAAAGAAAAGTTTCTTACAAACAATACATGACAATACAATTTTTTCAATTTGGTAAAAATAATACATCATGAATTTTAAAAAATCATTCTTTTTAACTGGAAAAAAGCTTTATCCCAGCAGAAAGCTTTTTACGAAACTGTTTCTTAATTTTTTTTTACCCAATAATGAAATTGAAAATATTATGTACTTTTTTTATAAATTAATGAAAATAAAAGCAAATAAGAAGAAAAGTTTTTTTTTTTATTTCTCACACACTTTTTCTTGTCTTTAGCTTAATATTTTTCAATTTTCTGGGGTTAAGTATATTCTGAGTAAACAAAAGCATTTTTCAACTTTGGACAAATACTTAAGACCTTTAAGAGGCTCGGTAAGTACCAAACATTGTGACCAAAAAAAATTTACCTATATAAGAACAGTGCAAGGCTTTGATTCTATAGTTATATCATCAAATATTGATCAGTTTATATTTTCACCTACCTATTTCAGGCGTATGTGTTTTGAATAATTTTAATTAAGCACTTGTATTCAAAGACTTGTACAGCTGTAGTAACTGACAATATTGAAATTTAGTACCAAAAATCTATTAATGCATAGCAACCTACACTTTTATTTAATTAAAAAAAAATACTTTTTCAACTATGGTTGATTAGTATTCTGTTAGTCTTCAGAAAAAGCCATATGGTAATTATGAAAACCTTAAAAATTTCTTTTTTAACATTCAACAGCAACCTACT